TATATTTTTTGTATTTAGTGGTGGTAGTTGTTATTGCCAGAAATAATCGTGAATAGTTTTTTGTTTACTTCATTTTGCTATTGTCGTGGCTGTTGACACTTTTTTTAGTTGATATAAGCTTTATTCTGTCAGAATACAAGCGGAAGAATATTCCATTATAGTATTCTAAACTAAAACTATCGAAAAACACAAAATCAATTTTTGTACGAATAGAGATTCGAACGTGTGAACTTAGCTTTGTAGTAAACTACAAAACTAAATTCACCGTTCGGTAAAAAATCTGTTAGAGATTTTATACATGTACAGTTATATATGTACTTTCATAAAAAAAGGAATTCTTTCAGATCACCTCTAATTTACTCACATTTGTTGATTGAAAAGTGAGAATTACTTTTTTTAATGTATTGCAAATATTTGTTCTACAAATAATTTTAAAATCAACAAAAGATGTACTGTTTTCTCGAAACTATGTAGTTATTTTTGAGTATGAGAACAAGAAGTAAACAGAAGCAGCATGGAAGCTACAATTTAGACTCACATTTCTACAGCAATGTAAGAATACGATCATCATTAGGAAAGCAAGCATCATTTCCACTTCATTTCAATTCTGCTTAGTAGATGTTTGTATTTTCATCATAGTTTTTGAATGAAAGGACATATAGGCTGCGGGAACATCTCAAACTCTTTAGCACACTTTTCTCTTTAATCTGAGACGTTTCAGGTCTCTGGGTGTATCACCGTTTGAAAATTATAAGAGAAACAAAATGCAAAAAAATTGTTATGGAATTTCACTCCAGTAGCAGAGAGAGTTAGCTGATCAAGCCGTAAAGTTCATTAGACGTTGAAATTTTATCAGTATAGCATGTATGAAGAGCACAGCACTTGATTACATGTTTAATTATTCTTCTCTTTTGAAATCAAATTTATTCCACTGTGGTCCACTTTTTAGATACCGTATTTTTAGTGTATTCTCAACTTTTTATCTCATAGCAAAAGAATTTGCAGAAGATCTCGTATTATATGAAATTTATTCATTTGATATTGAACGGTTCCACAAATCGGCTCATCGACGTAATGTGAATTAGTAAACGGTAAATAGGAAGATTGTAGACACTTGAGCTAGTAACACCATGGCAAGTGCGATAGACACGTGTATTAAGGTCTTTTAACGCTGTGGATGATTCTTATTTTGGATAATTAGAACATTTTCCCCATTTATTTCTTATAAATAGTATTGTTTATACTCTGAGACATACTAGTCACGTAGAAAGACTAGAATACCAATTCTTCACTTTACATTAGAAATAATAATCACTTTGTTTTTTATTCTTTTCGTTTTAGCTTGGTTTTATCTAGTATTTGTGACAATAGCAGTAGCGTTCACATTCACATTATTATATCACCCAATATTATTGTATTTTGTGTGATAGATAGTACATTCTTAAACGATCTACGAGCTTAATTAGAATCGAAGACGACAAAAATTCACAGTACTCAGTTGATTTTTAAGAGTAAAATTTGAACGTAATTAATATGAAATATTGTATATCAATAATTCGTGAATAATTCATAATGTTGTGAATATTTTTCCGTATAAAACATTAAAATCATGTTTCACTTGTTTATTTATCTATAGTTGGTTTTAGAACTAATTTTCATAAATAATAAATGCATTCTCCTGTTATCTATTGTCGATTAGCATCCACAAATGTTCTATTACGTTCTCGATTGGGTTCATATTTTAATGAGGTAACATGCTGTTGTAATCATCAGCGCCAATATTCTCTAAAAGTGCCCATTCAAAAACAACAAAGTAAAAGTCGTGCAACGACGACATCAAACGCAACGTTAATCCAACGATCACATCCAAAAAAAGCAGCGTCAGTCGTAACAAATTTAAAACAATTATTTACACCAGTTGAAGTCAAACCAATGATTACTTCACAACCTGATATCATATCATCCGCTACGTCTTCTTTATCAGGAAATGGAACTTATCAGACGCAAACGACTGCAACGACCAATGTTGGTCAAGAATTAACTGGAACGGTACTGCAAAGAAGTGAGTGATAAAAAGAAAAAGAACAAAAAGATATATTGAATATCTTTGTCATGTTTTTTAGATGATTTACTACGAATAATTACAGATTTTTATCGTCGCGATGAAATTAAAAAATTAGCAGCCGACAATGGTCTGGATAGTAAGTATAACAATAAAGTATTTCCCTATAAAGTTCAGATATTCCCAAGAATGGCAAACGGTAAGGATCTATGTTTTAGTTCGATTATTTCAAGATGCCTATGTTAGTTTTCGAAAATTTTGTGTACAATCAACTGTGTTACCCGTCGATTTACACATTGTATTCAGTGATATTTTGTCAAATGCTGGTAAGTTCATCAATTCTTCTGTCATATGAAGCTCGTTGATATTTTCTTCTATAGGACATGTGACAGATATATTTCCATATTTTTTATCCCATGCAAGAGAAATGTTTCCACATTTAACGTGTATGGATGATCTAAAACAAATTAGTGATCTTAGAGATCCAGCTAACTGGTAAGAAGAGAGAGAAATATACCCGCAATTTGATATAGGATGGAACTAGTCTATTCGTAAAAACAAAACCTGCTTATATCATCATTTACGCTTAATAACTCTCTTATCAGTATAATTGTTTTCTTCTACTAGAAGAAGTTTAATTTTTTTTTGAATTTTCATTCAACATCCTACTCTATGATTCTGATTTGTTTGCCACTTTGATATTTTAAATTCTCTATGAATTTCTCTCGAAAAACAATTGTGATCTGTTGAGATGTACTTTTTATAATCAGAAGATGCAGAATTTAGTCCTCTACAAAACTATACATTTAACTCTGACACTCTTCTGCATAATATTTAAAGTGTTAAACATTAATTTTCAAAATTTCTCCATTTATTGGTTTATTCAAGCGTTATATCACGCACGAAAAGCGTTATACATTAAAACAGTGCATATAAATAAAGTTTCGAGAAAATTTAGCAAGTCTACCCGTTTTTTCTACTTCATGTTGTCACATTTAGAATTCAAAGTAAAACGACTAGTAATACCGCAACTTTTACTTAATTAGCATACCTTAAGGTAAATAGAAACTCACTGAACTGTAATCTCACTTATGTGAAATTATGGGGTTGAAGTAGTATGATGCAAAAACGTTTTTAGGCACTTCCGTGTCTTACTTTTTGATTTAAAACCTACTAAAATACCCTTCAAAAGCCTACTGTTTTTCCTACTTTTTGAATTTTTGCTATTACGAACCCTGTTCTAGGTATCCTGATGCACGCGCTATTCAACGAAAAATTGTTTTTCATGCTGGACCTACGAACAGTGGCAAAGTATATCACTTCCTCTTTCCATTTTCTTTTAATTATATTATCTTGTTTAATTCATCTATATAGACCTATCAGGCACTTAAACGATACATGGAGAGTGAAAGTGGTGTTTATTGTGGACCATTGAAATTATTAGCATCTGAAGTGTATCATAAAACAAACGCTTTGGTTTGTAACTATTGAATGTTTGAGTTTTCTGGAAAATATATATTTTACTTTCTCGTTATATCAATAGGGAACAAAATGTGATCTAATTACCGGTGAAGAAAGACGTTTTGCGGATCCTGAAGGAAAACCAGCTGATCATGTTGCGTGTACTGTTGAAATGGCAAATCTAGCAACGCTATGTAAGTAATATTTTTAACTTTTATTTTCCATTTAGAACTATGATTTCGTTCTATAGATGAAGTGGCTGTGATTGATGAAATACAAATGATGCGTGATGCACAAAGAGGATGGGCATGGACAAGAGCATTACTTGGTAAACTGATTGTCTTATTAGTTTAGTCTAATTACTCTTGCTATATATGTTGTTTTAGGTTTACGGGCCAAAGAAATTCATTTATGCGGTGAAGCATCAGCCATCAACTTTGTACGGGAATTAATGATAACAACAGGTGATGAGGTTGAAGTTAGACAATATCAACGTCTAACAAACTTAACTTATTTAGATAAATCAATCGGTACGAAATTAATACAATCTAGAATATACAGAATTAACTACCTGAGAGATTCTACACAAAACATGTGATTCGCCTTTGGATTTCTATTAAAGTTCAAATGTACGCTTAATTTATTCTAAAGATAACGAATGGCCTATAAGGAATGGTTCACCTTTGGATTTAGTTTTTCTCTTACTTAAAACTGTCCCAAAAGTTTTGTTTTAAGTTCAAAAGGTAGAGAATTTAATTGTCTTTAAAACGGTGTATTTTTTTAACGATATGATAGAAAAATGCTCGAAAAACACTGCTTTTTTGTACTAATTTCAAGAAATACTTAGATCTCTTTGCGTTTTGGATGATAGAAAAATCTTTTAAACTTAGAACAAAACTTTTGGAACAGGTGCAAGTAAGAAAAAATCTAAATACAAAGGTGAATCATCTTTATGGGTTAGTTATTTTAGATCACGTCAGCTTTAACTGGATATCATTTTTTTGTTTAATCTGCGTCTGTAGGAAAACCATGATGTAGCTTATAGCATATTCTCTCTCTGATAGTAATTTGATGTTTGAAAACATTGATTATATAAAAGTGTCTGTAGTTATTATTAATTCACTACTGTATTTTAGTTATTTAGAAACATTTGATAATGTTAGACGAGGTGATTGTTTCGTATGCTTCAGTAAAAATGATATATTTCATGTCACCAGAGAATTAGAACGACGTGGACATGAAGTAGCGGTTATTTACGGGTCATTACCACCAGGTAATAATTTTCAACGTAAAACAAATACCTTTTAATATTCTATGCTATTAATAGGAACAAAACTATTGCAAGCACAACGTTTTAATGATCCATATGACGTATGCAAAATAATGGTATCAACTGATGCAATTGGAATGGGATTGAATTTGTAAGAATTACAACTATTTTTAAGGATTAAATGATCATTGGTTTATTTTTATTTTTTGTAGGAGCATCAAACGTATCATATTTTACAGTATCGTCAGACCACAAATGAACGAAAAGGGAGAGAAAGAAAAAGATTCTATAACAACGTCTCAAGCATTGCAAATTGGTGGAAGAGCTGGACGGTATGTGTTTAAAAGCATTTATTGACTCGAAGAATTGAAAGGTAGCTATAGATGTTTTTTTAACATGAACTGGGCGAGCTGATTGATATACATATATATTAAGAGAAAAAGGCGATGTACGATTCTGCTCTTAGGAAGAAATGAGCTATGTATTTTTGTTTTAGTTATGGAACACAATTCATTGATGGAGAAGTAACAACGTTTCATCGTGATGATTTACAATTGTTTAAAGATATTGTTAGTCGACCAGTTGAAATCATTCAGGTAAGTTATACTTTTTAGAATTTTTTTTTCAAAAAGAAAATGAAATTGTTTTCATTTTTCTTTAGCGTGCTGGACTACATCCAACAGCGGAACAAATCGAATTATTTGCCTATCATTTACCAAAACATACATTATCAAAATTAATTGTACGATATTATCTGATGTTATGAATAATAGCTTATTGTGTTTCTTTTGTAGGATATTTTCATCACATTATCTCAGTTAGATGATAGCTTATATTTTATGTGCAATGTAGAAGATGTCAAATTTCTAGCTGATATCATAGAGCATGTACCATTACCTCTAAAGCCACGTTACATATTTTCTTGTGCACCAATCAACAGAAAAATGCCATTTGTTTGCACAATGTTTTTGAAGGTACGTCTTCCTGTTGATCATTAACCCATACTATTCATTGTTCATTTTCGCTTTTGAAGTTAATGGCTAAACACTGTCAGAGACTGCCAATTAACCTTTTTTTCTATTCTTGTTTTTTGTAGTACGCTCGTCAGTATAGTCGTGGTGAACCAGCTACATTCAATTGGCTAGTTAAACAATTACAATATCCATTTCAAACACCGAATACAATTATGGATTTAATACATTTAGAAGAAGTATTCGATTGTCTAGATCTTTATCTATGGTTAAGGTGAGAAAAATGAAGGAGACTATTTTATTTTTTTTTTTTAACTTTTCATTTTTCTTTTAGTTATCGCTTTGCGGATATATTTCCGGAGAAAGAACTTGTTCGTGGTGTTCAATCTGAATTAGATCAAATTATTCATTTGGGTGTTCAAAGCATTGTCAAATTAATTCGTCGAACAAGACATTTGGACGACGATTCAGATGGACTGATAATAACGGCGACCACACTGGCAGTCGAAGATGCTGTTAATGATAAAAATAAAATACCGGTGAGACCAATTATTGGACTCGAAGAAGAAGTAGCCATTAATTCTACTTCACACAGTACTACACATCCATCCATCATGTCATCGTCTAAAAAACTACAACAGACAATACATCCCAATCGATTATTACAGTCATATTTAAATGCATTAAAAAGGTAGGGATACAACAATTGCATCGTTTATTTACATGTAACGATGATTAATAAATGCAAATATAGTTGTTCAATTACTTTCTCTTCGTTTAGTCAAGCAGAAGCACGTGGTCATGCATTTAATGATAGTGAAGATTTAATAAATCAATTGATCAATAAAAACTTACTACATCAACGAGCCGTAGATAAACTTGAAAAACAATTATGCAATTATAAAGAAATTAAGACTACAACAACAGTAGCAACACGAGTAAATAAGAACCACAATAATACCATTGGCATAAAAAAGACGAAACGAAAATAAAATTTTCATTTTTGCTAGTTTCTTCTAATTTTTCTATCGTTTTTTATTTTGTTTTTGCTTTTTTACAGGTATTTTCACCATTAGAATAAAATAATGTTTTCCGTATTTATTCTTTTATTTTCTCTACCGCAGTTTACATCTGATTAATGAAACATAGGATGATCAGTTGTTATCTTTGTCACTACCTTCCACCAATTCATTTTATAAATTTGTTATGTCTGACAACAAAATGTGACATTTTATCCAAATAACTTTAATCAAGGATATTGCAGTTAAGACTGAAAATCTACCACATCCATAAGTTGAGACTACGGTTAGAAAGATGAAAGTTTGACAAATAAAATTTTGCTATAAGAATATCTGCAAGTCTTTCTAATTCAGAGAAATAATGAAAATTTATTTGTCAAAGTTCCATCTGTCTAAGTGTAATTGTGACTTATACGTTTCAACCATAACTGCAACATCCTTGATTAAAGTTATTTGAATACGATGTCACATTTTTTTGTCAAGTATAATAGATTTATAAAATGAATTGATGGAAGATAGTGGCAAAGATAACAACTGATCATCCTATATTTCGTAAAATCAGCTCATGTTTAATCGTAATAATTTTGTATTCACATATTAGCTCTCAAGATCTATATCTATTTGCTGCCTTTTTGTGAAACCAACTAATGCCAAAAACTAATATTAACAGATTCCAGAGAATTGTTTTAGAAACATTTTCAGCGTCCTAATACCAATTGCCAGTGAAATTATGGATGGTACATTTTCATGATGATGTTCGCCGCAATGATTATCATTCTATTAAGTTGTCATATTTTATATTGTACGTGGATCAAAACAGCATATATTTCATATTGTGAAGAAAACGAAAAATTCTCTTATATGACAATAACGAGATAGTTAAAGGTGGAACGCAACTGGATGCTCGATTTTTTGATTTTCTTTATGATCTAGGTTTTTGAAGGCGATCAATAACTGATACAAATCAATATATTAAGAGTTCAAGCAGTTTGAAGAAAAACTGTTATTTATGCATCGAATATCAAAGTTTCACATAAAACATCTAGAAAACAATGTTTCATTATCCTACAAAAAAATCAGATCGTGTTCTTGTTCTATTCTAACGATAAGGTAGAAACAACAAACAGCTGAGACATTTTATAAACATGTAACATACAAAACGGTACTATAATCAATTGCTGTTGGACCATCGATAATTTATCTCATATGTTGAATAAAATAAGAGTTCGAATGAACTTTATTGATTGAAAGTATGGAATGAACAGTCACATATGAGTATTTTATTAAATAATACGGTTATAGTAGTTATTTGTTAGTTTGCTAGTCAAAATAACCTTCAATATTTCATTAAGCATAATAAAAACAACAGCAGTAATTTTCATTTTATTGAAAAACTTTGTAATTAAATTAAAACCAATTATTTCAACGTTTCGAACTTTAAAAGTTCATTTTCAAGAATAAATACAAAATGTGTCCTAGCTGGTTACATTTGCTAGTTATGATGCATGCAGAGAAAAAAAAACTTTTTATAACAGACATTCGATTTTCTCGTTTTTTTTATCTTATTTTGCTCGTCCGGGATGCATCATAACTAGCAAATGTAACCAGCTAGGACACATTTTGTATTTATTCTTGAAAATGAACTTTTAAAGTTCGAAAC